AATCCTTCTGCATGAAGTTATCTTCTGAGGAACCCTGTCTGTGGCAAGTAATACTGGGTCTTATCTTATAGAACACCCAATTTACATGTCTTTGATTAGCCACTTATGGCTCTTCATTGTAATGTGAGTATACTCAAGACCACCATTCCCCTAGGCAGGGGAAGGAGTATTAGTGGCAGGTAAACCATCTTTAAGTAGACTGTTACTCATTCTGTTATATAAAATCATAGTAATAAGCATTCAGAACACTTTGAAAGTAACCCATATAGTATACAACAAAGTGAATGAAGTTGTCGATGTTAGTTGTAGCAATCTTGTTTAAGTCTTAAGTGTTCAGAATTTTGCACTGGATTTTATTGCCTTTTGTATCTGATAAACTGTATATTGTAATCATAACAAATTCATGTCTGATACATTAAAAAATATACCATGGTGAACCCCTTCCCACAAATTTTTTATTGTTCAATAGCACTTTCTTGATCAGGCTAGGTTCATTATAATATAATTTTACCTTGTACATATGAACATTGTTTTACACTTTTTAAATTGTTTCTTTCATAGGGGCCTTTTTTGGTTCAAAAGACATAAATAACTTACAAGTGAATACATTGTACTTGAGATTTGTGAAATGATGCACTGGAAAGAAATGTTATGAATTATAAATGTTAGCATTTCTTTCTGGATTTTTATGAGGTAGCTGTTTATGAAACGTAAAAACGTAAAAATGTGGTTTTATATTAATATTACGTGTCTTCAGTTAAATTTCTTATATTTTTCTGCCACTAGAAACATGACAACTGAAAAGAGTTTAGTGGCAGAGTCTGAGACTCCTAAGCAGCAGCCCCCAAAAGAAGAGGAGGTAGCTGCTGAAACGGGTACACAGGAATCTTTTGTGGAGAAAGCACCTGAGGGTGATAATCAATCAAAGAAGAAGCTGAAAGCATCCAATGGTGACACGCCCACCCGAGAGGACCAGAGTAAAAACAAAGAATGCAGTTCTGAAAATCGTGGCTTGTCACGCCTATTTTCATCATTCCTCAAGAGGCCAAAATCTCAGGTATCAGAGGAAGAAGCCAACGAGGCAGGGACAAAAGAACTTGGTGAAGAAGGCCAGAAAGAGACTGATATAGAAGCTGATCTCAATGAAGAGATTCTGCTGAAAGCCCCAATAGCAGCTCCTGAACCTGAACTTAGGACTGATCCATCTTTAGATCTTCACTCACTCAGCAGTGCAGAAACTCAGGTAAATATGATGCAAACTAGTTTTCCAGCTGTCTAGATCTCCAGGGAGATTTCTCCTAATTTTGTGCATGTGACTTTAATTGAATAAAACAGAATATCCTTTTTAATGGGGACTTTAATGGATTTTATTCCCAAGAAAGTATAAATGCTCCATCACCCCAATGTTGAAACAGCTATACTCCTTTCCAATCCCAATTCAAGGTGTACGGAGCCTCACATAGCTTAGCTAAAGGTACCTGCAGTTACATTTAAGAAAGGACCCCATCCTGTCTTAAATGCTGGCTTTATCATGTGTATGTCTAACATCCACAAAATGTCTGCTTTTCCAGTGATGGAGTCATAATTGAGAACAAACTGCCATTGGAGTTGAGGCAAGCCCCTCCTTTTACATAGGGATTTTACATACTTTTTATGCTGCTGCGGCTTTATGACTTTTACTGTGTATGTGTGTGTTGGCCACTTCAAGCCATTTGGTAGTAGAGTGTACATTTGTAAAATAAATCAAGTTTTGCAACTTTATTTTGAAGTTTAAATTAGGTTCAAGCTGTGATAGGTTTCACACATTTAGTGTATAATTTATGGAACAAGGTAAGTATTTTGTTGCATTTTAAATTATATCAGAAACACTATAATGATATTTAAGTAGCAATTCCCAGCATACATATATATCCTTTTCAAAAAAAATTCTCCGTCTTCCCCCAGTGCAGGTTGTGAATTTCAGCTATTTTCCTGGTTTAAAAAAAGTTTTGTCAAATATTTAAAGTGATAAATATTTATAAAATACAAATATAGACACATATTATAGGGAAATGTTTTATTTATGTTAGAATATTTTTAATGATTTCAGCCTGCTCAAGAGGATAGGAGAGAAGATCAGGATCAAGATCAAGATCCAGAGAACAGAGATCTTGAAATTAAGAAAGAGAGAGAGCAGGCAGAGTGCTCCAGTACAGGTGGAAAAAAAGAAAACATCAAGGGGAAGGTAGAAAAAGAATTAAAGAGTGCCCAAAAAACAGTAAGACGACTCCGGAATAGCATGCACTGCAAGATCACTTTATTGGATGATGCAATTTTTGAGTGTTCTGTGGATGTAAGTATATTTATATACTACTGATTGTTTTTCTCAGATGATAAACCTCTATTACAACTGGTATGGGGGAACAAAGAGAGAATGTGATTGGCCTGATCCAGTGTATCTTTCTGAAATGATAGAATACCCTATTCTTCCCTATAGGAGCCCAAACAAATCCACCCACCATTTAAATGTACAAACTTCATGTATTTTTTTTTTTAATTACATCGATGAAATAACTATTATTTGGAGGATCCACTACTTTTTGATTGGCCCCAGGAATCTGGTTAATCTTTTATAGTGATCAATGGGTTTTCATGTTTGATTTATGCTGTCAGGAATGGCATTCAGTGTAGGGTGAGGGGGCTTGATATTGGTATGACAGGAACTCATTGAAATATACTCAGGCATCTTTGAGCCTTGCTTAAAAACATAGTACTTGCACCTTTAAAGCTATGGGTAGGGATAACAGAAGTTGCATGCGTTACACTGTCTTGTCCCATTTGCTTGACTGTTGTACAGTAGATTGAGAATTAAGTATTGCTGTTTTTAGATCATCTTATATCACCCAGTAGGAAGATGTTTCTTTTATTAAATCTTGTAGGATGTGCTAGTTAAAACATAACATATTATCCCTCTGCTTCCCACTCCAGATTTCTGTTTGATCGCTAGTTAAAACATTTATTTTCGATATTAACAGTCGAAAAGCACACAAATACAGTTTTTTACAAATAAAAGTAGTACTAGTGTAAATGCTACAGAAATGCCTGGAAACCATAATGGTAGTGATATTTTATTAAGGTTTCTAGCCCAGTTTCCTTCAGAATGGTCTTAGATGGGATGGCTTGACGTCAATTAGTCTAAGACAACAGCTGTATCGAACAAACTAAGGTCTTCAAATATTAGCAATAATCTTTCCATCTTCATACTGAAAGCTGTCTGTGAACCAGCCTATAGAATTGCCCACATAATCCTGTGTTTTGCAGGCAGTAGAGGTATTGAGTTATTAATATGCTTAAAGTTAAAGTAGTTAGCTTTCTACTGTAGGGCTCCCAGAGTGTCCTCTCTAAACATCTCAGACCTATTGAAGAAATTCAACATTTTTAAAGTCTGTTGTGGACTGGAATTTACACAACTCTTTGTTATACATTTAGAATTTATAGGGGGCTGCAGATCTCAGATTCTGGACTAAATTGATTTTTATAGAAGGCTTTTGGAACCCTTTGACTCTCCTGGATAGTTTTTATTCTTGGGGAAAAGGCATTGAACTCCATGACCGCTTTGTTCAATACTGAATTTAGGTAGGGCCAATTTAGAACTGAAACATAATTGATCTTCACAGTGACTGGAGTACAACCCACGCCACCCCATTATGGTAGTTTGGGTAGAAGACCTTTTACTCCAGTAAATTGCTAATAAACATTCTGAATGTATCACACCAAAATACTTTTGTTCATGAGGTTTAATTCCCTGCCTTTCATGCTATTACAAGAAGTTTTCCTCATGATATAGGTCAGATTAATCAATATTTAATCCATTTAATCATTATTTTTGTTTTTTGTTTTAAATTTTCATCTTTGTTCTATTTCATTTTTTTTATTGTGCTTTCATTTTATTATTTTTCTTGGAAAATGTGATTTTGTTATTTGGATTCAGATTATAAATAAAGTTATAATGAAAGATGCAGTTCCATCTCTTCATATAAGTTATGTAAGTAAATTAGGTCAGTAAATAAAGGCGAACAAACTAATAATCATCACTGTAAAGGAAAATAAGCAGAATTTACTGAGATAAATTAAATCAAACTACCAAGTTACTTCACTATTAACTTTTTACTAGATTATCTCATTTATTGTGTATAAAACTTCTATATTGTTATTCATTGATAAGTAATTCTAAAGTGTAATAAACAATACATTATAGGAAGTTTCTTTAGTCTTTTTCTGAAACCCTTTGGAAATTTCTATTTGATCTTTAGCATCAGTTATTTTTAAGTTTGCTGATATCTTTGAGTCACTGGTTAAATCTGAATGCACATGTATGACCAGGTTGTATTTCTATAGCTGATTGAGCAAAATAGGTGCTTTAATTGAATTTACGTGATTTGGTCAGTGTATGAATATTATATTATTATATTGTGGTATTGAAAATATTACTGATAGTATTAATATACTTATACACAGTGGTTACTTTACCCGTGTTTCCTTTAAAGTGTGGTTTTTAACTCTAAGTGTAGAGAATGGAAGTTGAACAAAAGTGGAAATTTTGGAGATTCTTTTTCATATGGGAGGCTCAGTGGTAAAACCTATGGTTTCACTGCCTTAGATTCTACATTCCATCTGTATCATCTTTGATTAAAGGTCCTAGGTTGAAACCCTGGAGAACTACAGGGTGATGATACAAAGCAGCTTTTTATATCCTTTCAGCCTGACACCTGTTTGGGGGGTGGGGGGCAGACTTGTTCATGCTTGAAGAAGAAAACCTCTCACCCATCAATGCCTCAAGGAATGCTCCTATATTGATTTATAAACTTTAGACTCTAGTAGAAACCTACGGTTTGGCCATCAGCCAAAGTCACGTTTATGAAGTTCGAAAAAAATACAGCTGAATTAAACCAGCTATAATTCATCTGTCTGTTGTTCTGTTCCTTTAATTTTTCACCATCAAGTGGATGGTGATTACTAGAACTTTCATGGGTTTGTTAAAAATAGGCTATGCCAGACAAATCTTACTGCTTTTTTTTTTTGGCTAGATTAGTAGATCCTTGCTTAATGATGGTAATTGGGACCAGCAGCTCCATCACTAAGTGATGCAGTCGTAAAGCATGATGTCATGTGACCACGCTGACTTACATCGGCAGTTGCAGCAGTCCCAGCTGCCATTGTTAGGTGAATCCTACACGGTTGCAGTGTCACGTGATTGCCATTTGCAACCTCCTGCTGGCTTCTCCATTGACTTTGCTTGTTGGAAGTGGAAGTGAGGGTCGCAAATGGTGATCACATGACTGGGACGATGTGACCATTACAGTGAGCCGGTTGCCAAGTGCCCAAATCATGACCCCATGACCATGAGGATACTCTGATGGCCCGGCTGCAATTATGAGGACCCATTGTAAGTCCCTCTTGTTCAGCACTATCGTAACTTTGAACATTTGCTGAATGAGTGGTGCTTCATTGAGGACCACCTGTGGATGTAGTGTGCCTAGACTTCAGTAAGGCATTTATTGAAGTTGATCATAGCCTCCTCGATAAAATGGAACAATGTAGGATGGATTGTTTCCACTACAAGATGGATTCACAGTTGGTTGAACATCTGTACCCTTACTGGATCTTTGTCTATACAAAGAAAGGTATGCAAAGCTAGGAGAATTGTTAACATTTCAGAAGATAGGGACAAGATTCAGAAGAAACTGATACACTTGAACATTGGACCCTATCCAACAAAACATTGTTCAGTGATGAAAAATGTAAGGTTCTGAATTTAGGTAAGGAAAACCAGATGCACAGGTACAAAATGGGTGGTACTTGGCAGAGCAGTAGTACTTATGCGCAGGATTTGGATGTCCTGGTAGACCATAAAGTAAGCATGAGCCAACAGTGTGCTGCAGCTGACAGAAGAGCCTGTGCAGTCTTGGGTTGCATCAACAGAGTTATAATGTCAAGATCATGGGAGGTGATAGTTCCACTCTACACTACACTGGTCAGACTGCACCAATGTAATTTAGGGTGGAACTATCACTTCCCATGATCTTGACATGGTCAGACTGCATCTGAAATACTGTTTTTAGTTTTTGTCGCCACAGTGTAAGAAGGATGCTGAGGAACTAGAAAGAGTACGGAGAAAAGCAGCAAAGATGCTTGTAGGGTTGGGGGCTATATCCTAAGAAGAATTATTAAAATAATTGGATATGTTTAGCTTAAAGAAGAGAAGGCTAAGGGGAAACATGATAGCAATCTTCCAGTAGTTAAAAGAGCTATCCCAGGGAAGGGGGAGGGAGGGAGGGATATATAGATAGATAGAACAAGAATCAATGGGTAGAAGCTTTACAGAGAAAGATCCTAACTCAAAATAAGGAGGAATTTTCTGATTGAGAGCTGATAAGCAGTGGAACAGCCTACCTCCTGGATATTAATGTTCTGTCAGTGGAGGTTTTCAAACAAAAGTTGGACAGTTTCAGGCAATCTGAGGATTCCTGCCCTTGGCAGGTGGCTGTAGTTGAAGACCTCCAAGATCCCTTCCAACTCTACAGTTTTATGATTTTAAGTTATTTCTTTTTTATCATATAAGATATCCAAATTACATTTCTCGGATCTCCCAAGAGAAGAATTAATTAAATGATGAACTGCTTTTATGAAGGAAATACTTGATTCTCAATTCGGTGTTTTCTAAGGGGGTATGCATATATGTCCATTGACAAAATACATCAGAAATATTTAGTCCTCTTCACATCTCTGCAGATTTCCTTCTGGCCATTTTTCATTTGTTTGTTCCCCCCACCCCCCACCTAGGATCCAAAACTAAAAATAAGCTTTTACTATTAATGATCTGTAATTCTATATAGAAAAGATGCCAAACTATTTGTACTTTTGTACAGAAACATGCCAAAGGACAAGATCTTCTTAAGAAAGTATGTGATCATCTCAACCTTTTGGAAGAAGACTATTTTGGACTGGCCATATGGGATACCCCAACATCTAAGGTAAGAAAACTCTGTACAAGAATGTTCTTTGGGGTTGTTGGAGGAAGTTAATTTGCTTAAATTTGTGTCTTGGTGGTGGTGGGGAAGAACTGAATTGTATTGGGAGAATAGATAACAATAAAATGCACGCAACTTGGCATTGCTAAGTTTGTAGAAACTGGCTTTAGCACAGAAAGATGCTAAACTGCATAATGCTGTGCACATAGAAGATTTTCCTAATAGATCAGTACCATGGACAGCATCTCCCTCCAGTGGCTTTTGATATTTCTCAACAGGCAAAACCTTCTTTTAAACAAATGTACACGTACATGCATATATTATCTACATGTATAGATAGAGAAGTTATAGAATGGAGGTGTTAGGCAGTTGTGTTTTGCTTTCAACTTTAAAACTTCAGTCCAAAAATTGCCAGACTTATAAAATTACAGTTCTGCAACAATTAATATTGATAGTCTTTGTGTCCAGCTGCTTGGACTTCCTTAGACCAATCAAGTAGAATGTCAAAGTCAGACACCTTTAACTATAGTTGTTCAAAATAGAGCAAAACATTGTATAGGTTAAGAAAAATGAGCTAAAAGGGTACAGTGGGATACATAGGCTATTTCTTCCCTTGAATGGATTGGTTTCCATATTCTGCTGGTGCCACATGAGGGTGAGGATGATAACTTCATTTTAACTCATGTCCATATAGGTAGTCCTTGGGTTACAACCACTTGTTCAGTGACTGTTCAAAGTTACGACAGCGCTGAATGAGGAGGACTTACAACCAGTCCTCAAAGTTGTGGCTGTAACAGCATTTCCATGATTACATAATCATTTTGGGCACTTAGAATGCACTTACAATGGTTGCAGCGTCCTGCAGTCACATGATTACCATTTGCGACCTTCCCTGCCAGCTTCCCGCAATGGGAAGCCAGCAGGAGGTTACAAGTTGTTTTGGTAAGTTGCTTCCACTCCTGCTGCTTTTCCTCCCAGGATGCCCCTGGGTAGCAGGTGGAGTGTGGGCCCTGGGGGGATGGGCAGCCAGCTGCCTTCACACCAGGCTGCGGCACCCACCCACCTGCACTCATGCCACACCACAGTGCCCCCCTACCACTGTGTCACAGCGCCTGCCCTTCCACCATGGTGCAGCACCCACCGCCCTGCCCATGCTATGCTGCGGCACCCACTACCCCATGGTGCTGCACCATGGTGCAGCACC